AAGCACAAGTACATATGTTGCCATCATCATTTTCAAAACATATTCTCTCTACTTGCACCCTTGGCATCAGTTCCTCATTTTCCCCTTCCCTCCCACACCTTCCCTCCCTCATGAACCCTTGATAATTTATAAATTATTATTTTTTTCATGTCTTACACTGACCACTGTCTCCCTTCACCCACATTTCTGTTGTTCGTCCCCCTGGAGGCAGGGGAGGGTAATAGTCGATCATTGTGATTGGTTCTCCCTTTCTCCCCCCCACTTCCATCCCCAGCAATTGGTTCTTAAGACATGGCCCTGCTTGATAATAGCGTTCATGAAGAAATCACTCAAGATATGGGTGCTATAAGCAAAGCATGGTGAAAAAATTAAATAGTGCCTGGCTATCAGAAAGAATAGTTGTCTGGGGTCTTAAAGGTTTGTCTTCAGACAAGCAGCCATCTACGTGAGGCATCAACTAAGTCCACATGGAAGAAGGACACAAGCATGTGTGATCCAAGGATTGTAAATAATATAATCCAGATCTGAAAGAGGGAATGGTATCAGAGTTTAGATTGTGAATACCTAGCTTGCAGAAGGCTGTGGATGATGACGGAAGCCACAAATACACATGCAAGGTTCACACATAGCTTAAACTTCTGGTGAATACCCTCTGGCCACAGTTGAGGGATGTGAATAGCCTTGTTATCAGACAGAGAGTACTGTAGAGATCCTTACAGTAGATATAGTTAGGTTAAAAATGCAGCATCTTATTTGATTCCCCCTTATGCCCCATTTAAATGTTGTATCAATTTAAAAAAAGGCATAAATACACTTGGATGAAGTCTCTAGTGAATTCCCTCTGAACATAAACCAGGGATAAGAATCGCCCTGCTATCAGGTAAAGTGCATTGGAGAGTGGATCATGGCAGACGTGTCTACATTAAAATTTAATACCTTATCATTTGATTTCCTATTTGATCTATTTAAAAGTTGATCTAGTTTTCAATAATTTCTGCTTTCTTTTGTATTGAGGTTTTTCTCTATTTTACTTTGTTATTGTTGTTAGCTTGTTTCTTTGTTTTTGTATGTTTTTCAATATATGAAATCCAGGATGGGTAGCATCATAGAGACAATAACTGGATTAACGGTTTCTTGGGGGTGTGGCAGGGGAGGTTGGGTAAATGGGGAGCTAATACCAAAGAATACAAGAAGAAGAAAATGCTTTGAAATGACTGTGGTCATGATAGTACAAATCTTGATATGATTGAACTATTGAATTGTTATGATGTATAGATTATGTCCCAATAAAACAGTTTTTTTAAAAACCCAAAACCCAACCACTGCCATCAAGTTGTTTCAGAAAAATAGCAACCCTGGCAAATCTCTACAGAGCAGACAGTTTCTTGCAGAGCTGCTAGTGAGTTTGAACTGGTGACTGTGCAGTTAGCAGTCCAATGCTTATCCGATAGCACCACCAGGACTCCTTGCTCAATTACATGAAGGTATAATTTATTGCTCTCAAGGAAGAAAACATAGGAACATAAGAAGCAAAAGCTCTGAAGTTTCTACTTAGTATTGATCTTCGCCATGATGCAGAGGACACGACAAGTAATAGGCATTCAATGGTACCTACGGATAATTAAAAATAGAAGAAACACCAAAGTTTCATGATTTCAGGTAAAATTGTGCCTTAAGCAAATCAGCAGTGAGAGTCCTATCTGTGCAAGACACAGCAGGTGTGCAGAGTAAGCTGCTCTTCCCTAAGAGCTATAGGAACCTGAAGTCTTCCCTAACACACACAGAGATGGGCCACCTGCATTCATTTATTCATTCTTTCAACAAATATCTGTTGAGCATTTATATGTCAGTAATTTTTAAAGATTTCAATTTTTTTTGCTCAAGTAGTAATTTCCCTTTTTGCTAATTTGTCAATCAAAAACTACTTAAATGTCATCTTCTTCATGTCAGTAAATCTTTTCAGGACCTCAAGTCTGCGAATAAAGTGTGCCACACTCCCAAACAAGGGAGAAACTGTTGTCTTACAAACATTGCCTACCTAGTCCTGTAAGATATTGACAATGGAGGGGCTTTCTGTATGATCTTAGAAACCTTTCTGTAAATCTAGAACGACTCTCACATTAAAGTGCATTTAAATAAGAAAAAATACTGCCTGGAGCTTTTCCAATTCTAACTGGTAGGAAGACTCAGCTGTCCCGTTTTCTTGCTTTTGACGTATTCAGTTGGCACCCAGCAGCAGCCACTTCTTCACATATGTTGCACATGATTAAAACTATCAGATTTTATCATTTCCCCAGTCCAATACTTGTATTCATATAACAACAACAACAACTCTAAAAAAAAACCAAACCACCAAAATTCAATTCTGACTCATAGCGACCCTATAGGGCAGGGTAGAACTGCCCCTGTGGGGTTTCCAAGACTGTAACTCTTTATAAGAGTAAAAAGTCTCGCCTTTCTCCCGAAGAGTGGCTGGTGGTTTTGAACTGGTGACCTTGCAGTTAGCAGCCCACGGAGTCACCCCGATGCCATGCAGACAATGGTTAATATCTCTGACAGGGGCAGTGTCTCTGAGGGAAGAGAGAGCAAGGATGGCAGAGGAAAGGAGAGCTGGTGCCATACCACAAACATCACTGGCCAGTTAGTTACCCGAGGTAAGCAACTGCCTCCCGTCCACGGGGTGCCCACTGAGAACGCAGGCTGAGTTCCCCCCAAATCCACTCATGACCCTACTACTTCTATCATTCACTCCGTGGATGTGGAGCCCCTGATTTGTCTTAGCCATGAAAACGCTAGCAACGTTTGCAACACTGTCTTTAAACATCAGAGTGTTCTTAAAAACCTGACACGCCTCCAAAACTTGACTTGTTCACCAACTCCAAAAGCCCTGTTTCTCCTGTGGCGGAAAACCCAGTAGCATTCCTCAAACGAACATTTCACATTTAAAAGGTGACATGCCTTTGCTCATGCCACAGAAGTTAGAACACAGACTCACCAATTTGATTGGTTCCTGCAAAGCCTCCTTTCATAACTAGCCAGTAGTTTCTCTAATCCTCTCTGACAGTGGATGCGAAAAACTTCCATTTCTGCCCATCTAATGGATGTGAAATGTTTACCATCATTGTCTTAGCAGTAAGGTTGAGCTGCTCTTTCTGTCTTGTAGGCCCTTAAGCTAAGGTGACCAGACGTCCCGCTTTGGGCAGGATGGTCTGATTTTTGGCGTTTTAAAAAGTCCCGGTTTTTGGAAAGAATGCACAGACCAGCTAGGGAATGGTCTATTTGGTCCATCTAGACCAAATTTTTAATCAAGAACACCCCCGCCCCGGTCAGTGGTGTCCCGCTTTAAATCTGGTCACCTTACCTTAAGCATCTCTCTTGCGGGGTTCGCCGTCGCACACGGATTGCCCATTTTGTAACGGGGTTGTCTGTGGCTTCCGGCCTCCCTTCCTGTGCTGTGCACTAATCTGCCAACAGCCATCGCTCTGCCAGCATCTCCCCGTGGACCTTTCTACATATCGGAGACGGTGTCTCTTTTGTGGAGCGAGGGTTTTATTCGATCGGTATTTTTGTTTGGGCTTTTTCTTTAAATGCCTGGTTAAGAAGGATTTCTACACCAGGAGATTGCAAACTATTCTTTTATATCTTCTTTTTAAAATTTTCTCTTCACATTTGGCTTTTGCTATCGTTTTTGTGTGCAGTTTTGGATGGGTTATTCGAGTCTTCGCCTGCAAACGTAAGTGCCGGCACCATTCTTAAACGCTGAATTTCAAAGTGGAGCTGGAAAGGCACTTGCCCTCAGCTCTTTGAAGATGCCGTTTGGTTCTTAGTTTTGAAAATCTGATCTCCACACAGCTATTCTTAGTTCTGTTTTCGTTTATTTTTTCTCTCTCTCTGGTTGTCTTTGATATTCTTCCTTTTGGCTTTGGTATTTTCTGACTTAGCCCCAAATTTATTTTTATTTATCCTGCTCCAGGGTCTGAGAAGTTCCCAGATTCTCTTTCCCTGCATTACCTCCAGCCTTCCAGAACTGCCATCAACAGTGTGTCAGCCAATCTCACAGTACAGACCCTCTCACGCACCCTCCTACCACTGAGTCAATGCTGACTCACAGAGACCTTACAGGACAGGGTAGAACTGCCCCTGTGGATTTTCAAGACTAACCCTTTATGGGTGTAGGAAGTCTCATCTTTCTTCAGCGAAGCTGCTGGTGATTTGGAACTGCTGCCCTTGGGGTTAGCAGCCCAATGCATTAACCACTACGCCACCAGGGGTTTCCAGTATAGACCTAAGGTTTCTTAAAATTCCATTTCTATCTCTTTGTAGCTTGGTGTTTCACCCTGAGTAATTTTCTCAGTTGTATTTTCTAGTTGATAAATTCTCTTTTCAAGCGGTGTCAAATTTGCTGCTTAAAATGGTCATGGCTATTTTACTTTAAATGGCTGCTTGCTTTTAATTTGTTTTTCAAAATGCCACATGGTTCTTTTTCCTAATCTTCCCTTTTTCTCAAAGCAAATATTTTCCTCAATTGTAATTTCTTCCTTTATTTCATTAATTACTTCAAATGTGCTGTTGCAGGATTTCTTTCAGACGATTGCATTACCTCATTAGCTTCTTAGTTTTTCTTAAATCTCTAATTCTGCTCACTGGGGTAAGGACTCTATCACGGTGGAGTGCTCATTTATGATTTTTATTATTTCCAGGGCATTTTTAGCTTTAAAAAATATTTGCTGGTCATAAATTAAAAGCGTAATGTCTAATGTCTAAAAAGTGTAATTAAGTATACATATTGAGCCTCTGAACATAAACAGAATTTCATTGTTGCTAATAAAATTTTAAAATGTAAAGATTGATTGTCTTAAAAGCCTGGCTGGGTTACATCACTAAATTGGTGCTTGTTTCCTTGTTTTTTAAATTTAACGTTACTTTTTTTTCCCAACCAATTCTCTTTCCTTAGATTTGTTGTTGCTGTTATTTGGCAAAGAGTACGAGGTGGGAAGAAGGCTATTATTAGCTCATCATAGGAGATGACTATGGCTTATTCCATTTAAAGATTTTTAATTGGCAAAATAAACAGCTTTAAAAATAGCCAAACCTTTTCTGTGGCTTACCAGACATCACAGACCAAAGAAGTAAGTCAATCAGCACTGCACTCTCCCTTTGCCCATTCAGGGCTATGGTTATGCTAACCATGTAACAGGAAGAAACCTATAGTATCAGTCAACCAGACAGCGTGTAAGACAAGCACAATACATTTCCTTCTTTTCAAAAGCTGTTCAATGTGCAGCCGTTCAAAAGAAATGTAAGCAGATTTTAGCACTAAAGACAAAACTCAACATCCAGATAGCTATAGCCTCAGAGCAAAATGTCCACGACTTTCATGTGACCTACATGGCCACTTGCGGCTCAACCACCATGCCTGCCTCTCAGGCTTCATCTCTGCCACTCTCATCTCCCCTCCATTGTCCACTCGACGGCCCAGGTGGCCTGTTTCAGTAAATACCACTCCCCACATACGGACACGCTATTTCCCCCGTGAAGACTGCTCCCCACACTCAGCCCCGGTGTGTCCCTACAGTCTGATCAGGTTGCTTTGTTGAAGGTTGTCACAAAACTGCGGTCCTTCTTTTCGTTTCTGTCACTAGACTCTCATCCTATGATTGGTTGAACACTGTCTGACTTTCCCTCTAGACTGGAGGTAGCCCAATGAGAACAGAGACCCTGTCTGTCTTGGCTCACCACTGAAGCCTCCTCGCCTCTCACACAGGGTAAGTTCAATGCATTTTTCATGGTTGCATAATGAATTCACATTAGAGGTAAAACAAATTCATATCCAGGAGTAAATAAGAGATTATTATTTAATCTTCTATTGTCAAGTTACATGATTTGTGAATTTGGAAGTGGATAGGAAAGAGTCAGAGACCTAGCCATCTAGTGGTGGTTGACCAGACATCTGCTAGAAATGATTGGGCTGGATCTTAAAGGAAGTGGAGGAGTTTGGAAATAAACACTGAAATTATAGGACACTACCATAACAAGAATTCAAAATGAATCCAGTGGGGTAAAATAGTACATTAACATGCTAAAAGTTCTGAAAAATCACACAGAAAAACCTATTTCACTTACTTGAATTCATTACGTGGAGCCATAACTTACTTGAATCTCAATTAACAGCCCAACACAGATGGTAAAACTCTGAGATAAAGCAGAGAGCATCAGATTGGGCATAAGAAGGCTAGGTCTAGTGCCAGCTCTCCTCCAACTTGAACTTGGCTTCTCTAGGCTTCAATTTCCACTCCAAAAACATAAAGGTTAGGCTAGACATCGCTAAGATTCCTTTTAGTCTAAGATTTCAGAACTCTGAAGAATGTTTTCAAATGTATGTTGCTCTTTGATAGCAACATCGTGGATGCCGTGTGAGCCACTTAATCTGGAAAAGAATCAAGCTTGCGTTATGAGAAATACTAACAGTAGAAAGTAAGATGACTGTTGACCAGAAAGTGCAAAATAGGATGTTTCTACGATACACTGGATACATGTCCCTCGGTAACATATATTTATGACAGAGTTAGCAGCACCATAAACAATGGCAGAAAGTGTCATAATTTAATCCCATATCGAAAACTTTTCCTTCTTGTTCTAGTACATACTCCTGGCTGTTCAACCACAGCTGGAAGCCCTGTACATTTTCCACTTGGATGTGTGATCTGCTACCTTCCAGGACTTATCTATGGATGCTTTATTAAATATCAAAACTATAAATGCTCAGAGAATTCTGAAAAGAACAATAGATGATTCTTGCACACTGACTTAACAATTGTACTCAATGACAAGGAAATGAAAGAAGCTAATTACAGACAACAGCTTTTTAAAAAGGCAACTGTGTCATGCAGGTTGACATTTGGGAAGGATGGGGCAAGAAAGATCATTCAATACTAGTTAACTTCTCACGTTGCTTTATGATTCTTTGAGAAAGTGCTAAGTTCGGAATGTATTCTCTCCCCTGCTTTTTCTCTCTATCATGTCAGCTGTTAACAACTAGAAGGAAGATGAAGGGATTAGGCAGTCTTCACGTCTGACCATTGTCTTATTTATGACTTGATGTGACCTGGGGAGGAAGGGGGACATGGTAAGCACTTGTGTCTACTGGTACTTAAAAATGCATAGAAGTTCACACATACATCAATATCCAGTTGGTATTGGGTCACAAGCCTCCATACCATTCGGGTTGTATTTGTGTTTCTTTTACCTCTACGTCTGCTTAATGTTTCGGATATCATAGGCAAGGTCAGCCAAAGGAACAAGTCTACAATTTCCTTTAAATTTCATCTCAAGTGAAATTCTTGACAACAGTTTCAAATAGATACGAGCTACCCTGGCAGCTTCTGAAAAGAGCAACCACACTTTTTACAAAGCATATGATGAAATTAAAATATATATATATTTAAGTTGAAGAGAGACACCCCTGCCCAAAAAAAGTTGCTTAACAATTCTCCTGGCAGGGAGTTCACATCATTTAATACATTCCAAAAAGGCCTGGGAGTGAGCGTTAACTGGGTATTTCATTAGGGTTCGCCTTGGCCGTGACGTCCTTGTTTTCTAGCAGAATAAAAATAAATCTCAGTAAATGCTTGCTAATGAGTTAAGTACTTCTTTTCTGTGGCACAATAGCTCTAATTAGATTTCGAGCGCAGTGGACTGTGCTTTTGTATGCCCTGTACTCTGGAGAGCGAGGCTCCTCTGTTAAGCATTTGCATTTCTTGCATTACTGTTGTCTGGTGGTCCTGTTGGGTGCGTGTTGGGCTGCTCACCAAAGGGTTGGTAGCTCAAGCCCACCGGAAAGATGAGGCTTTTGCTCCCATAGAGCTGTTTGGCCTTAGAAACACTAGGGAGCAATTCTACTCTGCCCTCTCTATAGAGTTGCGATGACTCAGAATCACGTGGATAGCAATGGGTTTGGTTATTTGGTTTACTCAAGGCAAAAAAGAAGCCCCAGTGGTGTATGTAATAGTGAAAAGTGCTCAGCTATTAACCAGAAAGTCAGAGGTTTGAAACCTACACCCATCCCATGGGATGAAGATGTGTTTGCTTCCATAGAGGTTAGAGCCCTGAAAAAACCAATGGGATGATTCTTATTTTTCCTATGAGTCAGAATTTACTCTAGGCAACATTTTTTTTTAATTGAGTTATATAGTTTTCCATGTACGCTATGGAATTTTGGGAGTTTACAGTCAAGATGGATCTGTGAAGCCCATTTAAAAATTTCAGGCAACTCCCTTTCGTCATGTCCTCAAATTAAGACTGTGTCCATCCTTCCCTACTTTTTCGTGTTTTTTTTTTAAGGCACCTTGGTGGCATAATGGTTTTGAGCTGGGCTGCTAACCACAAGGTCAGCAGTTCAAACCCACCAGCAGGTCCACAGGAAAAAGAGGAGGCTTCTCTACTCTCAGAGAGTCAAAAGTCTTAGAAACGCACAGGGATGGTTCTACCCTGTCCCATAAGCTCACTATGAGTCTGAATTTATTTGATGGCAATGAGTTTGGTTGGGTTTATTACCTTCCCTACTTTTTCAAAGCTTCCTCATAGAAAGGACTCAGACATTCTTCCCTTATTTATCTGTTTCTCTTTAAATACTGGTCACATTGAAGCAACTTTCTTTTCATACCTATGACTTTAAAAGTCTCACTCCAGGTGCCCTTAATCCTTGAAGGAAATAATTGCCCAACCATCGCTGACTAACACTGTTACCGGATTGATGAGAAGTATTTGCTTGGGGTCAGAAAGATGCTCACTTGGCATTTACACTTGAGCTACCTATTTCTAGAAAATTCTATGTGGGTCCTTTCAGCCCCCTCCTGCTTTACTGTTCCATTGAGACAACAGAAGTTGCTGCATTGATGCCTGTGGACAATCTAGTCTATAAAAAACTGGAAAAAACTCAACCTGAATGATCCAACCCTTACTTTCCTCTGGGACCCTCGACTGTGAGTTGCCTGCCAGGAAAACCTTTCCACTGTCGCTCTTTCTGCCTTTTCTATTTGACATTCTGAGCTATGAGAAAGCACTTCAACCCATCTGACTGTGTAGAATGAAAACAAACAAACAAACAAAGGAATGAACAACATTCTTCTGTATCTCCACCGAGGAACCTAAATGCCAAGAGATGTACTCCCATTAAACGAACTGATAACATTTAAAAATATACTTGCAGTACAGGGTTAACATAAGAAAAAACATGAGTCTATCCTTTCAAATAGTCTCTTAGTTCATTACAGAGTAAGCCCCATAAAAAAGAAGAAGAAGAAAAATTGGGCTCTTGAATTTTTTTCTAAGAAAAGCGGTAAAGAACATTTTCTTTTCTAATTTGCCTTTGTGCTCTTGACTCAGGAGGCTGCATCTGATTACATGTGTGAGAGAATAATAAGCCTAAATTGGTGATGGGCATTTTAGCAGACCGAGCAGTAATATGTCACCACTGAAATCCTGGACAGTTTTCTAAGGGCTCTTTGAAAGCGTGGGCTTCATAAACAGCCATCCTATGGAGGGTGTAATTATGAAATCCGAACGCTGATTCAAGACCCTCTTTCTATGAGCGACCGCCTCTTCAGCCTCAGCCTCAGTGGCTCCGAGTGCAATCACAGCCCCTACCTTGTTCACCTCCCATGGTGCGCCCGGCGTCTCCCCGGCAGCCGCGTCTGGAGTGGGCGCCCGCACACCTGAAGGGACCGGCTCCTCGCGGTCTAGTAGAGCCAACTGCTCCTGCCCGTCTGGTGTGCATGTTGAGTTGGGGATGCTTGTGAGCCACTTCTTGGTCTCCTGCTGAGCAGAGCCCAGGCTCTTTTCCAGCGCTGCCTGTTTACCCTTCAGCGAGGAGACAGCATCCTCAATCAGCTTCTGTCCCACCCAAGAGGAGTTTTGCTTGATGGATTCTGACAACGTGGAAATCTTCTCTAGTGCACCATTGTGGAGACTCAGCCTCGCCTCTAGGTCCTGTGAGTGGAGAGGAGATTGTCACAAAATGTTCAATTGTCACAAGCGGTAACTGGGTTCTGTAAATCGTGAGAGGTTCTGTTTCCCCGGTGGGAAAGGTTTATCAAAAGACACTCATGCACATTGTAAAGGTGAAGCTCTGGGCAAGATTTAAATTAATGTAGCATTCCAAAGCAAGTTCTCAAATTGATTTTGGTTGACACTAGAAGGAAAATGGAAATTTTTCACAGCACGGACCCGGGTGGAGGTGGTGGCTAACAGATAATCATTGAACATGTATTTTGTTCAAGATACAGCCTCTTACGCAGTTAGAACACTGATTCATACACACCTACTATGTGCACACACCTACTATGTGCAGAGCACTGAAAAGACTAGAGTCTGCCTGAATCCACTGCTAATATTTAAAATCCAGAGCAACGCTTTGTGGGTTAATGGTGCAAGATCTGAAATAGCATAGGCATGTAGTCAGTCTTTACTAAATGCCTGTGTGGAGGAAGTGAATTTGAAAACTCTGAATTAAAATGAATGCGACGTATTACAGTACCTACTGATGTTATTGTTTACATCATGTGATCCTTGACATTGCAAGGTAAATCAGTCACTGTCCTAATTAGCAGAAGCCCTGGTGGCCCTGTCAGGTCCGGGTGGGACTGCTGACTGCAAGCAGGGCCAGTTCAAAACCACCAGCCACTCCCCTGGTGAAGGAAGAGGCAGTGCGATTGCAGAAAGAACCTCGGAAACCACATCGAGGGTCCCTAAGACTTGGAATGGACTCAGTGGTAGTGGGTTTGGCTTTTTTGTTTTTTGTTTTAGTTTGGGTCCTAATTAGGGTGGTCTGGGTGGTGCACATGGTTAATGAACTAACGGAAAGATCCGATGCTAGAGTCCACCAAGAGGAGCTCTGAGGAGACCTGATCACGTACTATTGAAAAGTCAACCACCGATGGAAGAAGCACACCAGCCTGTGTGCTCACGAGGTCTCAATGGGATCAGGTATCAGGCATCTAAGACCCAGAACGAAATCATACCCAATGTGCATGCAGGGTGGTGGAGTGGAGACCCAATGCCCATCTGTAGACAATTGGACATCTTCTCACGAGAGGTCACAAGGAAGAGATGAGCCAGTCAGGATGCAGTATAGCACAGATGAAGCACACAACTTTCCTCTAGTTCCTTAATGCTTCCTTCCCCCCACTCTCATGACCTCAATTCTACCTTACAAATAGGATTAGACCAGTACATGCACACTGCTACAGATAAGAGCCCACAACA